TTTAATTAAATAAAAATATTATATTTCCCTTTTCTTTACCCTATCGTTTACGTTTGGTTATCTAAATAAAATTAATATTAATCATTTTTTCTCTTTCACTTTTCCTCTCTTCCCTTCTACTCCCCTTCCTTCCCTTAGCTTTACCAATTTTTATACAGAGTGTTAGGGTTGTTTGAGTATTGTTGGTGTTTTTTCCATTTTAAAGCACAGTTTTCTGGTTTTTTTCATATTTTTCTTGCCTCGCCGGAATCTGGCCGGAATTCCCCGATGGTGCCGGATTCTGGTGGGCGAACCAAAGTTTTTTTGGGCTGGGGGGCCTTTGTTTGTTTTTTAGTTCTGCGCCTAGGCCCGATTGTATATTATTATTTAAAATTAAATAATAATATATATTATTAATTAATAATTTATTGTAAAATTACTTAATTAGATATATTATTATTTAAAATTAAATTAATTAATAATTTAATATATAATGTAAAAAAAAAAGATTTGAGAATTTTATTAGATTATTTACAAATTTTATTAATTTTGAATAAGATGAATTTTTTGTTTTTCTTTCTTAAAAAAATAAAAATGGATATTTATCAAATATATAAATTATAAAAAAAATTTGTAGATATTTATGAAAATTATTGTAAGCATTGTAAAACTAATTCTAAATCTTAAGTGAAGGGGTCAATGGTCAACCTTCTTAAAATCTAATTTGGTCCCCATCTTTTCGGGATTGTGCAATTAAGCCCCCAGTTTTCAGTTTGTTTAACATGCACCCAAAAGCTTCGAACTTGTACAGTTTAGTCCCTCTGTTTTTATTTGTTTCAGTTTGGCATATGTATTTCTTCCTACTCCTTTCAATTAAACCCAAAACTTTCAATTCTCGTTTTTAAATCTATGCATGTTTCATTTGCTTCACTGAAGGCCCTTAACTTCAAGGGACATTAATAAGTTGATTTAAACCCCAATTTTAGAATTTGCAACTACATTTTATATAAAAGATTGTAAAGTGCGCATATACCATTCCTTACTCTTAATCAAACTTTCAAACCCTAATCTTTCATAGACTAGTGGTGACTTACTCCACCTTCATTTGGGTCGGTGATAACTCTAACTTTCTAAATCTTTAAAACTTAATTTTTCAAATTTAATTTATATATTATTTTTGAAATTTTAAGTTTGGGCATTAAAACAAATAAACTTAAAAAACTAATTGATAAAACGACTAAAAATATATATATTTTTATAATTGAAGGACGAAAAAAGTGTATGCTAAAGTTAAAGAACAAAAGTTGTACCAAAACTCTGAAATTGATGGACTAAATTTCACATTTAAACTTTTACAAAAGAACAAGTTATTAAAGCATAGTTTTACCTGCTCTTATTGCATTAGAACAATATTGTACTTTCGGCTTGCAGTGTTGTACATAATTCTTGCAAAAAAGGGTTAGTACAAAAAAAGAGGGTACTCTGTATCTTGGTCTTTTCAGTTGATGAATATACAGAATTCTCTTTCTCTGATTCTCGATTTCTCGTTTCTTATCTCTTTTCTTCTTCTTTCTCCCTTCTGATTCTCCTATTCACTAATTCTTAATTTTTTTTATTTCTTTAGGAGTTGATTGGGTGATGAATTTTGAAGTTGATTAGTCTGATCCGGAGTTCTACCTCAGCAGGTCCAATTCTTTTCCTTTCTCTTAATTTGCATTGCTTTCTTTTACCTTTTGATTTTTTTCTTCTTGCCAATTGGATTTCAGTCGCCATGGTTTGTTGAATTCAGTTGTGAATTGGGTGTGTTTCCTTTTTTAAATGGTTAAATGTTTTTTTTTAATTAGTTAATTTTTAATTTTAAACATTTTTAATTCTTAAATTATTTTTTATTTTTTTATTTTTAAATTATGAAAAATACATTTTTTAATCATTCTATTAATTATCCATTAAGTTAATCTAGATATACATATTTTTAGCTTCAACTTATATTTTTAAATTAAGGGATTAAAAATATGTATATATTATAAGTTTAAGAATTAAAAATGTGCATATATAAATAAATTTAATAGACTAACTAATGAAAAGATTAAAAAATATATTTTTCATAGTTTAGAGAAAACAAAATAAAAAAATAATTGATAGATTAAAAATATTTAAAATTTAAAATTTAAACACTAAAAATAACATTTAAATTTTTTAAATCTAATGCTGCACATGTTATAGAATTTATTGAAGTAGTCAACTTTAATAGGATGCATCAAGTAATAATTAATGTAATGTGTGGGATAGAAATGCATCGGATTAGGAAATAGTTAAGCATTTAAACTCACGGTCTCGTAAATCGCAACTTTCCAAAAAATTAAATTATAAAAAAATTTAAACCTAATATTTCGTACCATTAAATTTTAAGAAAATAGTGTCGATCTATTTTATTTTTTAAACATTAAAAAAAATTATTTTAAAATTACGTATTTCAATAAATTTTTATTAAAAAAACTAAAATATCATATTTTTAAACTACGAATTAAAATATTTTTTATCATTTTTTGTAATATTTTATTAAAGACATGTTTGGTACAGCGATTAAAATTTAACGAATTAGCGAATAACAAGTAATGGATAACGGATAGCGATAATGGTAGCAGGTGGTGGGTGACGGGTGTTGGTTAGCAGATAATAGGTGATGGATAGAAGAAAGTGAGTAGCAGATAGTAAATAGCGGATACGATAAATATAATTATTTGGTTATACAATAGTTAGCGATTATTGTTTAATATTAAATGATTAATAAGAACATATTTAAAAAAAATTAAGTGTATTTTTAAAGTATTTTTTATTTTTTATTATTAAAATTATTAATTTTATA